ATATAATTTCTGCACAAAAAGCAGTCTTTGAAAGATCCGCCCCGAGTATATAGCAATATTAAACAATTAGCTAATTATTTAACAGTTTCCGTGCTTGCAGGCCCTGATCCAAACACGCGGGAATGTTGCGAGAGAGGAGAAGTGCGCAAATGAAATTATTATTATATAGATTCACGCATTGAAGGCATGTATTTGCGTTTATGTATTAAAATTATTAAAGACTAATCAGTTCTCTGTTCGTAAAACTAAGTCAATCTTTTGAGTTAAAGTAGGTTCTATGAGAATATCGAGGAACGTGTTAAAACGGAACTGTTTATACGATACTGAATGTAAATGATTTTGTAATGTTTCATGGGGCTGATTGTACGATAGATAGCGCTATCTACTGGATAGTGAATTTTTGAACCGTTATGTAATTAAAAAGCAATAAAACTTCAGCTTTAGAGCCAACAATTGTGTAATAGGATCCTCAATATAGGAAGACTATAAGATTTAATTAATCAAAGTTATACGATACCGAACAACGGGTAGGCTAATTTCAAAGCGACAAACTACCTAACCATGGGTTCTCAATGCTGGATTACTTGAAATATGTCAATTATAAGCCACGCTATTAGGTACAGATGATTATTTGTATCGTTTAATTTGTGTGCAATATGCATTTCCATCAAACAAATTAAATGTAAACTTTGACAATATACAATACTTTGAAAAGAATATGAAAATTATATTCCGGACGTTGGCTGTCGAGGGCTTAGACTGAGGAACACTTTTAGAATGACCAGAATGGAAGACTTTTATCCATGCATACAAGCATGCATTGGTATGCACGCCAAGGGAGCCGCTAATTCGTGTAAAAACGTTTTCAAGACATACCTTTTAACATTCATGGATTTTATTTAGTCGTAGCTAATTGAAAACTATAACACAAAATTACAGACCAAACATAGCTATACTGTTCATCCTGAATGAGGAGTCTTAATCATGGGGCAACAAGTTAAATATAGCTCACTGGACGCCTTGGAACGACAATATTTGTATGATAATAAAATTATACGAAGTTGTGGTATCATGATACAGAAATAGTAATATATGTAGTAATATGATGTACGTTGGTTAATTGCGTTTGTTGTTTAAGGGGAACACAATTGAGAATCAGCGTAATTTCCTCTGTAAAAGTATAGGAAATACTACACCAAGCTTTGCACTTAAGAGTTAAGAGCTACCTTACAAAAATAGGAATGGGTGGATGACAATCTTCTGTTCCGCATAGCCTTGAGCAGGATATTAGAGGAAGGAAAACCAATAGCATAAGTTTAGTATTAAAACGAATCTATTTAAGATATATAGATCAGGGACCAGATGATAAAAGACTAGTTAACTTTTAACGGCATAACTATTAATTTTTAACTGTGTTGAGGAACGTGTTAAAACGGAACTGTTTATCACACACTGAATACAAATGATTTTGTAATGTGATCATGGGGCCGATTGTACGGTAGATATAGCGCTATCCACTGGATAGTGAATTTTTGAACCGTTGTGAAACAGGATCCTCAATATAGGAAGACTAAGATTTAATCAAAGTTATACCATAAAACAGGCGATTTTAAATTTAATAAGCGATTGAAAAAATCAGCTTACGATGGATTGCGCTATATCTGGCTTTTATACAACCAACGGGCCAAAAAACTCTGAATGAAATGCTGATCAAAGTAAACAGGTATTACGAAAAACATTCAGTCGCCTTGATAAAAAAACGGAAGAATGTTTAATGATGCGACAGTGGTTGCTTTCTACCCGGCGGAATTTCGCATGTGGAGGTGAAAAATTAAGGGAGAACTATATTCGTGAAATCTAGACGTGGTAATACCAGGGGCGGATCTAGACCGGTGCAATGGATGCAGATGCATCGGTCAAAATTGTGATATTGAAATTTGGTCAGATATAATATATTTGTATAAATTATACACATATAAAAATACCTGATAGCTAACTAATGTGATCACACCTCTCCTTGAATAAACTCAGAGTTTTTAATCACTTCAAACCAGCGATTTAAACTCATTATTATTGCCAAGTTATCGATATTTGCGATCAAAACATGATTTCGCACTTTCTTTTGTTTTTCGACAAGTCGTCGTGAATAATTTCGCGACAAAAATGGCCTCAACATGGATATAAATAACTTTTCATTACGTAATGCACAGTAGCACATGTGAATTAAGTGCACCGGTCCCGAGTCCTTTTCCGTGTGAAATCTACTGTTACGTCACATTGCCATTGTTTTGAGAGTAGATTTGGAAGTTTGTGCACCTGTGAGTGCACCGGTCCCGAGTCCTTTTCCGCGTGAAATCTACCGTGACGTAAACGTTTCCATTGTTTTGAGGGTAGATTTGAGTCCGCCGACCGATGCACTCGTGCAGATTGCGGGCTTTTTGCTACCTTTTCGCTTCAAGCCTCGTTTTGGATTCTACTGTGACGTACAAGCTTTCGCTAAATCGCTAAATCGCTTTGGCATAATGCATTTGCTCAGATTGCTCTCCCACGCATTATCGAAGTCATGACTACAACAGCAAATAAGGGCATTATTCAAATTGAAAGAAAAATAAAGTTTGAGGTCAAACGGTAACGTACTCGCATAATTTTTCAAAATAAAGAAATGACTGCATGCCCCTGGAGTCAATAATATAATCTCTATTCTCGAATACTCAATGGTTCTGGGCTTCTGGCCAGTTCTCCAGTTTGTTATTAAATATTGCGTATAAATTTAAAGTTGCTTAGGTTTAATATAAAGCTTATGTTATATTATAACATAAGCTATGTTATATTATAAATAAGCTTTATTTATAAAAGCAAAGGAATAAATGCCAATAATGGTCATATTATTATGACCACTAGACCTTACTATGACCACTTATTATTATTACCACTATACCACTAATGACTTTGAGTCACTAGACTAGGTATAAATTATAAACTGTGATTTACATTATTTTATTAATGATGTAAATCACAGTTTATAATTTAATATTTATACCTTAACACCATTACTATGCGTGCGAAATAAGGTAACTTGTGTAGCTGATGTCAAGATAATACGACAAGTTTGAGGTATTACAATGAAGTTGTTTTCTTGTTTAATAATGCTACACAACAGCCACAAAAATTATTAGGAATGAATGATCAATGATGTCCAGTTTAGGTCATTACCAATAGCCTTCTGAAGTGCTTACGTCACACAGTTTTCTGTCTATACAATTTTGTCCCACTTGTTTCCCAGATTGCATTGCGATTCATTGTTCGAGACCGACATGACGTAAGCACCTCAAAGGTCTATTACCATACAGGTAATTAGACAGTGTAAATTCCTTAACTTCTAGCTATGGTTGCTCATGGCTGTTTTGGTCACCAAAGACTGGTGAATTCCTAAGACTGGTGAATTCCTAAGACTGGTGAATCACAGCTAGTCTAAATAACTAAATTGCCTAATATAGTTCAAATTAACTCAAGTCTCAAGTATTGCTGTAAGTCACATGACTGCATTGCTTTAGTTTTAAGATTCTTGGGATAATATAAAAGTTATTTGGGATGATATAACTTTTGCAACAATATGGGAATCCTAAATGCCTGTATACACTAGTAATTGATTGTGAGGAATATTTTTATTACTCATTGATGTATTCACTGTTGTAACTCTTGAACAACAAAACTTTAGGATTGCATGCATACAACCTCATTTATAAATAGATGGACCTTGCTTTTAAGATTTGGCCAGGCAGGATACTACATAGTCTTGGCATATCTTCTATATTAGAAAGATTGTTTACATGAGCTTTGCTGATTAGTTTAACATAATTAGCCCCACTGCCCCAATCAGTGTTTGTCAGACTAAAACTAAAAAGTCAATTAATAAGACATAAACACTTGAATATTTGCCTTTTGCAAACTCTAAAAAGTGGTTCCTTCCTAGTCGTTTTGGAAATATTTTATTTCTAAAGGGAGACAATACTTTGTCAATATTTTTAATTAAAATTTGAATAACTTGCTTTGTACTACTCACAAAAATATTGATAAACATTATTAAGATTGATCAATAACTCTCTCTTATTTCAAAACATCAATTTTTTCAAATTTTTCAAATACTTTTTTGAATAATGAAATTAGTGAAACTCTTGTTGAATTATTAAAGGCCCTATTTCCTCTGAGCTTTATGGAAAAAATTATTTGAATATTTTGATTAGTATTGACTTTCAACTACTTTTGCAAACACCGATTTAATTCAAGATTTTACAATGTCTAAACTGCAGTTTATGCAAGATTCTAAAATGAACTCCTGAAATTGTATTATGAAGTACCTCTTTATGTTTAAAGGACGTAGTTTTGTCATGAATCTTTGAATGCATGAGTTGGTTTCTGTTTGAATGTCATTAAACTAGTCAGCCAAATTAAATGCAGGGAATCGCGTTTTCGAGTCTCGCATTCCTAGGCTTAAAATTTCCCGGGATAGGTGTCTCCGGCCCGCTAGTGGGTGGGGCCTTTGACATTATCCATGAAAGATGCATCGGTCAGGAAATTCGCTAGATCCGCCCCTGGGTAATACACAATCTCAAATATTAAATGCTGACGATATGGTACGGTTATTTTAAGGGTTTCCTAAATTATTTTAGCATGCGCAGTGGCGAGTCATGCAAAATAAGATTGTCGATCAGTTTGCGACATGATTTAAACAGCAAGTATTAAAATTTATTATTCAAAAATAAAGAAAAACACACTTATTTGGTGACAAATGTAGTCATGACCAGAAATGCAGGACATATAATTACCATAAAAGTTCATAATGCCAGGATTTCGCAATCGAAGATGGCTGCTTGTTATTATAGAATTATATTTGGCAAGAGACGAAATTTGAAATTAAAGCAACTTCTATCTTACATATTCCAGTCATAGAGCTTGATCTAAGACGGGCAAAAACTTAGTACTGTTATGACATTTTTTTCATATTTTATATTACCTTTAACAGGTTCCCCAGTAATTTCATTTCAGCGAATAACTATTATTTTACATACTTGCAATATAATGTTTATTTGCTGAAATTAGATTTATGGGAAACCTGTTAAAGGTAATATAAAAATATGAAATAATTTTCACAACAGTACTGAGTTTCTACTCGTCTTAAATCAAGCTCCGCAACTAAAATATGTAAGGTAGAATTTTTTTAATTTCAATTTATTCTCGCGCCTTATATAATTCTATAATAACAAGGCGGCCATCTTTGATTGCGAAATTCTGGCATTACATGATCTGTTATGGTAATTAATGACCGGAATTTCTGGTTACGTGCTAATTCTAATGTCTTGTAAGATGAATGAAAATTGCTTCTAAGTTCTAACATGTCCTCTTGATTAGAATGACACGATTGAATATCTGGTAATTGTTATAAAGTTCAACAAATGTTCATATATTTTCTTCTTCACAAATCACAACGCTTTCCTTTTCCTGTCTCATGTTCACATCCATCAGACCTCTTATTCCCATACTTGTCAGTGAGCACCACTCTCAACACATCTGTACCAGGGTAACTCCACCTACCAAATGCATATATCTGTCTCTTCGACCCAGACAGCACAGTCGTCACATCTTGAGAAATTTCCTGACCATTTTTCCATTTGACAGAGTATTTTCCCAACAACTCGAAGATTGCTTTCCATTTGTACTCCAAGTCCTGGAGTGTTCTCAGAAGGTTGATGGTGATTTCAGCGTTTTTCGGCACTTCAATGGAAACATCAGTCTTATCCGTTGTCGTGTACGTATTCGTTTTACTGGCTTCGACATTGAAAGAGGATGTGGCCGTGACTTCAGTTGTGAAGGTGGTTTTCGCTCCTGTGCCAAAGAATCCTGCACGGACTTCCACAGATGCCCCAACTTTCACAGCCAAAGAGAATCCTGAACCAATCTTGAAGGTGGATGAAGTTGATACCGATGTCGTGAGCCACTTCGTGCACTTGTACGGATTGGAATGAGCAGAGCATATGACGGGACGAAAACCTTTGACTGGTTCAGGTTTGGCGACGTTCAGTGGCGACGTATCTTCGATGTTGAATTTCAAAGCATTGAGCGCCAAAATGTTGGAGCGATCGGAAATACTTTTGCACTTGTATGTGTTGCTACCAGCAGATCTATCCATCGCATTCATTGAACACTGTTTAAGCTGTCCAGATTTATCTTTGACTTTGATCACTAAATCTGGTTTATTTACCCATGAATTTCCATTGTAAGATCCCATCTTGCAGCATTTAAACTCTTCCAAGCAGTATAATTTGTTACACGAGTTTCTGTATAACCCCGCCATGTAGTATCCTCGTTTACAGTTGTTCCATCCTTTGCGATCGAATGATTTCCAGACGTTTTTTTTGTAACAATGTCCCCATCGTCTCACCTGGGACTTCGGCCGGCAGCATTTGGCTTCTTCGATGTGGCTTAATTTATTTCCCGAATTTCTCCAGAGTCCGGTCATGTAGTAACCGTATTTGCAGGTAGACCAACCTTTGCGATCGAAACTTTTCCACCAGTTGTGGTTGTAACAATACCGATCCCCCGGTGATGAATACAGGTAGCCAGGCGCATCGACACATTTCGCCGCTTCGAGAAGGAAAATGGGGTCTCTACGTCGTCTTCTCTTGTTCCTGTACAATCCTGCCATGTACCTACCATTCCCGCATTGCGACCAACCTTTATGGTCAAAGGATTTCCACCAGTTGTCCTTGTTGCTTCTAGTGCGTGGTCTTCTAACACGTGCGATCATGTACTTCCTGTACCCGCTGTTTGTTTGCCATGCGTGACTTAGTCTACGAAGAACTTGTTTAGCGACATCAATGTTGCCAACGACGCTGACGGTATAAGCACTGGGTCCACCGCAGCAGCTTTGAGGTCCATGACAGGGTGACCACGATCGACATCTGCTGGTGCATCGATTGTCGGCCAACTTTTTTCCTTTGGGGTATATGTTTCCACACTGACATTGATCGCCTTTCGTCGCCGCCAAAATGTAACCCTTATCTCTGCATATCTCTTGACACTTTACGTTGGAGTTATGGCCACGCATCCGTCTTCTGAAACCTGCGCTTGGAAATGAGGAGTAGCAACCTTCAACGGCGTAGTAATTTACCGATCGTTTCTTCTGAGTTTCAACATCTTCTGTGGAGAATACAACCGGTAACAGAACGGTGATCAAAACCAAAATTTCTTGTAGAAACATTTTGAATCTCTCTAGATAAATAATAAGAACGAACTTGGTACCGAAAAGAATACAGTCGGGAGAAATGGTACACACCATCGAAAACTACCCACCATTATGGTCACGCATTTCTTTACCTACCCAAGTATCAGATAAGTTAATTTTTAAGCCCCGTTTACACTACACTGAGTTTATTGGCACGGCACGGCTAAAATAGGCACCCGTACCCAATTTTATTAGTGTTCAGGCTACCAAAACATAGGCCGAGTACAGATGAAATGGTTACAGGTGCCCATTTTAGCCGTGCCGTGCCAATAAATTGAGTCGTAGTGTAAACGGGGCTTTAATCTACGCAACCCTCCAATTACGCAATGAACAAACCCAAACACGCAGGAATGTTGTGAGAATTAGGACTGCTTTCCACTGTCGCATTTTTTGCACGTACGTATATTCATGTAAAAGCCTAAAATCTTCTAAGTTGTTGTATAATTAATTTTACGCCAGAAAAAACACACCAAATTACAAACAGCATGCAACCCTTTATGCATCTACCCAATCGCTGATTTCATAAGTATCATTTGAATAACTTTTTCGTGGGAATACGTACGCACAAAAAAAACGTGACAGTGGAACACAGCCGAACTGAAGGAACATTCCCGAGTGTTTGGGTCAAGCGATCCAAATACGGTAAACCATGAAATATCTTATTTTATGAAATATCAACAAGGTAGTATTCCAAGCCTTTGATTTCCGTGTTTGGAAGGCCTGATCCAAACACAGGCCTCAACCAATGAAAACACACGTTAAATACATGTTATTTTATAATTATGTTCCATGTATACATATGAATTATTGATACATGTACGCCGCTGTTAGTCACGGTATATAAACAATACAGAATTATGCATTTATTTCATTGTAGAATACATATTTTATAACTCGAGAAGGGACTTTTCATCATATTTAAAACGCGAGTTCAAGTGTTTAAATTACTTCAAATACGCCGCATTGTTGTCGACAAATCAATTTGCTCCATGTACGCAATGCGAATTAGGATGAAACATTATATAAAGAATGCTAATGAGGGTGACAAATTACATAATGTGCCATCCTGATTAGCATTCATGGTATTAATTTTACCACCTATAAGCCACCCCATGTGACTTCTAACGGTCCATTTCATAGGTTAAAGAATTATTCAAAAGAATTATTAATGAGCTGTTAAATTGGTTTTAAATATTTCGTTATCTTTGTGAGAATCAGCGTTTCGACAACTTATCTGCACAGGCAGATGGTAATGACAAAAGAGAGAAACAAAGAACTTTTGTAAAGAATGCATAATATATATCATGTTAAGACTAATCTTTTCCTGCCTCATGGTTGTCATTTTGAAGCAAATTTCCTTCAATTGCAGGGGCAATGGCGTAGCCAGCCCGACAATTTAGTCATGCTATGCTAATATTTTGGTGTTCATTGATTGTGAAAACAAAGAATTTCTAAAGAAATGAATAATGATAATAACATAAAATTTGCATAGCATGACTAAATCGCCAGGCTGGCTACGCCACTGAACGCCACTCAGGATATATCTAGGAACAATTCATTTCATTCAAAGCATTTCAATATTTTGTTCAAAGTAAGGTTGGTAATAAAAATAGGACCCATACAGCCAATGTTTTTTTCCCTTTGCTACGAACCCTTGGAAATGAGTAGCATCAAATGTGGTATAACAACTGCCTAAATAGACAAAACACTTCTCGAAGTTTCGACCTGAGGGCCTTCGTCAGGAGAGTTAGTATACTAAGTTGTTTGAAGACGCTGCCACGCTGCTCCTTGGTTGCCCTGAAATTGTATATGAACATTCCCTCAGAACATGATAACAACTGGGTTATACCGTATCTTTTGCTAATTTCCGAAGCCTTGCTATATGTGAACGCGCAATAAAGACTATCTTATCTAGTCATTCAAATGCTCTTCGTCAAGGAATGTGAAAAAAAAATATTGGACGGCACATGCTTTTTATAAGTTATAACCCATGAGCGCAAAGTGCGTGATAAAAAAACAACCAATGGAAAAAATCAGAAGAAATTAGAATACAATCCCGTTGCAAAAAAATCCACAACTTTAAGATTCATTTAGAATCCGATACAAATGAAACTGTAGTCGGAACAATTAAAATACTTTGTTACTCAGTTTGCATTTTTTCACAAAGTTCTTTGTCTCTTACTTACGTCATTGCTATCCCCAATTCGAGGATAATCATACAGTATGCAAATAACCTGTGAAAAACCTGCACGTGCATGGCTATACTAGGTATTGCAATGATCTTGTCATCATGTGAATGTGGCGACAAAATGAGCGGAGCAGGGTCGAAACTAGAAAGATAACTGGGGGGTCATTCATATATTCAGTTCTGCCCGATGGATTTCTTTTGTAAGTTCAGTAGCTTACAAAAGGAATCCGTCGGGCAGAACTGAACATATAAAGTGACAGCCCCCTCTCTCAATAATCGTTCTATGTAGTTTCGGTCCTGGTGTGAAAAAAGGATTCACTTATGATAGAGAGGATACAGATCATGATGAAATCTTGCACGATGCCTTACAAATACCACATTATGTTATGCATTCCATATATCAACCCATGCTGTCGCAGTCGTTCATTTTGAGACACGACAACAGGTTCAGAATCAAGGAACTGTTAAGAATGAGTTCATCGAAACAAGCAGGACACACGACAAGACTGTAAATTTTGAACTTGTATCAAAGTCATCTTCAGACATTGTTTAATACAATTTTCATGAGAATTTTCGTGAAACATTATATCATATATTGCGTGTGTTTACGACCGTTCACAACAGAGGCAATATTTTCAATGATCAAGTGGGATCAAGCCTCAAAAATTTTCCCGGCTCGCGCGAATCAAAGTAACGCCTCGTGAGTATGGACTCGACCTTCTTGAAAACAATTCTATGTATCTGAAATTTCATATCTAAATTGTAACTACCAGACTGTGGTGTTTAACTGAAAGCTATGCTTCCACTGGTTCATTAACCCATGCAAATGAAGTCGCTAAAATGGGGAACTTGCTGCCCAAAATTTAGTCTCTAACGGACTCTCTTCTCGCACTCTCGGGCCCTCTAAGGTTACATAACTTGAAAATATACGCCTTTTTCTAATCGCATACAATCGCATTCCGGTCCCGAAACTTACAAAATTTTTGGACGAGCGTAAAGTAAGGCGTCCACAATGCTCAGATTTGCGCCCCATATATTTATTCATTTTCTAAGCGATTATTTCCTCTGAATTGTGTCCTTGTGAAAAACCCTTTTTTAATACCTGAACTGTTTATAAGGAACAGGTCATTTATACCTCGTAAAACTTAAAATATGTCATGACAAGCACCTGGGTACAGGACAGTGCAGTGCTGTGCAAATATGGGTGAATGCATGTCGACGTCTGAGTTACAGGTAACGATTTTAGTTTGACTGGTCAGGTAATAGAAATTCGTATTGAAAGACTTTTCTTTGTTGGCGTGCAATTTAGTTCTTACCTGAGTTAGTTTTGATGCCCGACTTCACTGCAGATGTTGTTATTTTATTTTTCTTTCTTCAGAAGTTGTTCGTTTTGCACTGATCTTCTCTGCACGAGGCTAAATGTGAGACTGCGTGCAGTGCAAGTGATATCCAACTTTATACGCGAGGGGAAGCAATGAAATATCACAAACAAACACAGGAAGTTCAAACGGAGAATTAGGGGCCATTAATGTCGTCATCAACACCAATAATAGTGATAACAATATTAACAAGTAATAACCTTATTATACAGGGTGTCCCAAAAAAAACGCAACCACTTAAATATGCAAGAATATTAATATTGTTCGGGTTTGCACCATAGTTCAGCTAAAATGACTTTTAGCATTGTAAATGAAGGATTAAGAGCCATTTTCAATTCCCAGAGGTGCTTATTTATTGCGCTTTAGAGCTGTATTAATGTTCTGCATATTTAAGTGGTTGCTTTTTTTTGGGACGCCCTGTACAGGGTGGATTATCAAATAAATGCAACACTTATATTAATATTCATATATATGTTCGTTTCTATTCAATAGCAAAGGATCGTGCGCCTCTGGGAATTATAAAGGTTGCAGTTGTTTTGATACAACCTATATAAGCAAGGCTCCTTCTTGACACAAACTCACCTGGGTTGCCAGATTACTGAAAAAAGAAGTTTTTAGTCGGGCCTTTAATTTCTTTGTTTGAAACAAAGAATACAACGAATATGGTCATAATATTTGACTAATTGTTGAGTAATTTTGCAACCCAGATAAGCACTTCGTAGCCAGAGGATCTTAATATTGGATTAGCTCAGTGATATGTCAATAATTACAACGCTAATTACACATTGTTGACATTTTGAAATCTTATTTTTTCCCTGCTATTTGAGAAAATCAAAACACTACGAGGACTCGAAGTGCAAGTGCAAGCTAATATTGGCCGCGCTCTTGTGAAATGTAAACTAATATACAAGACTTTAAAAGCATTTGAAGTTTAGTTATTAATATAAATCGCCGCATGCTAGCAACTCAGGAAGTTGCCGTTGAGTGCTTAGATTATAAAGATCGCTTTAGTAGCACCAAGAAGACTGCCATCCATGCATGTTTTAGGCAAAGAAGATCTTAAGCTTGCCGCCTACGGGGGCTATCGGTTGAGCTAAAGACCTCGCGAGGCTGTTAGCTCAGCAAACGGATAGTTTTCGTGAGGAATTCACCTCGAGAGGACACCGCGGAAATTGGTATAGGCTTAGCCGCAATTCTCGATACTTAGACTTCAAACTTCGTGAGGAAAAAGATTTATAAATATTCAAGAAAATATGTCTTGCACAAAAGATTTGAAGCTTGCTCACGGTAAAAATGAATCGTCTGAATTAATAATCTTGTGTATACTTTAAGCCTCAAAATGGCCATTTCACAGCGGTCAGATGTGTATGATGAGCTGTCAAAAGATTGCAGAATGCGTATTCAGAAGAAAAATTGAACTTTTTTAAGATATTCAAAAGGTTTCTCTTTGATAGGGCGATACAGAAATGCACAATTGTGAACCAGCGATTAGATTTTCGGGTTGAAACGTCTTAAACACCAATTTCTGCGGTGTCCCTCGAGAGGCAAGTGTCTGTCGTGTGAGGATGATTTTCAGGCTGAGCTAATCTTAGCTCAGCTGATAGTTCTCGTGTGCGGGTTTTACTCGTACAAAACTTTTTATGCATACCTTAAGCATGTTTCATTTTGTCGTAATTGTTGTGAACTTCATTGTAATTGTGAAATAATCTGTATTAACTCAGGTTTTCTTTGTTCTCTGTATAGACTTGTCGCCATTAACGACATGCATCAACATAAAAATATTCTAATACATGAATGAGAACCAGCTCTAAACAAACCCCACGACCGGTATTCTCATTTACAGTGTATGTCGGAAGAAATCGCCGACAAAAATTGACCATTTCATAAGTACAACGAGTGCAACGTTTTTGTATATAATCGATATCGTAGCCTAAGAAACCAAATGACTTCTCAGCTTTAACTTTTCTCCTTTTGAAACAATCTGTTTGCCTTCCCCTATTCCCGCTTGAAGCAAATTTACCCGCTTTTCAAAACAAAGTTCATCGTGACAATTAAAACAGCGTTAACAAAACTTGGTTAGTCATAGGGGAATTATGCGTCGGTGTCTTTAAGAAACTCTGCCGAAGAAATCATGTTGCTTAAAAAAATAGTCGAACGCTTTTCTTGGTGGAATATATGATTTTTCTCAATATTTTTTGAGATGCACTTAGGAGTATGGTAAGTATATATAAACGGTTATGAAACCCCGGAAACGAGTTTGAGGGTTATTTTATGTGCTCTATATAAGCCGTAAAATCATTTGATAAGTGTTTATGTCTTAAACTAACACGCAAAGTTAACATGCAGATCAAGCAGATATACGCTTAGGTCATTGAGCAAAACTCAACTTGTGCTAATGCGCATAAGACTCCAGTCATTTGACACATTGGAACGACATTAGTTGCATGATAAGAATTATACGAGGTTAATTGATGATCCAGAAATAGCTCTCGTTTTGCATGAAAACCTGCGTCATTTCCCCCGTAAAAGAAAAGGTGATTGTGTCTGCCAAACACAATAGCAATAAATCTAAATAAAGGATCCTAATACCAATTTACAAAGAAGATTTGTGCGGTCTAACACATACATGTAAGACTGATTACTGAAGTAGGCAAGTTTTTCACCTTAAAAAAGTTTTGTATTTAAGAGTTAAGAGCCGCTTTGTCAAAACCGGCTTGGATCATGGTAAAACATCTTTATTGCGCTGGTGCTTTAAGGGCGGTTTACAGTCGGTAATGTAAACAACCGCTTTGTTTACAAATTGATTTGCTATATCTTCTTAAAATATCATGTCCTATCGCAATTATTGCCATTTCAATTCACTATATATTTTTAAATAAATAAAAGATAGAGTGTATGTTCAAAGGAATTCAACAGATGCGAAATTTGGGCAAATTCTTAATCATGGAGTCCCCTCAATGTAATGAGCAGAACCGATGAATTCACGTTGAATCATTGCTATATTCAAGAGATAAAAAACACCAGATTTGAGAACTTGGTGTAAAACATATATCGCAGTATATTACATGGACATGATAGCAAATTTAACTGGCGTTAACCGGGAATGTGCTTAGACAAAGACTTCAGAAAAGAGATTTGTGAATATAAATAATACAATAATATGGCAGGAATCGAACCAACGTCCGGTGCGGTTGTGCGATGTCGGTGATTACAGCCCAAAATATACGAGGGGTACAAGCATAGGTTTATAAGTTTCAAAAAAGTTGCGAGTGAAACTTTCTTTGGTTACCATCCCTTAGACGTATATTTATAAATGTCATATTTTTATCAGATACAATTTCATGAACTGTCTGGCGTCTGCAGCGGAGTGATTGGGGTGATTGGACGGAAGCGGCAACGAGACGCCAATTTTGAGTTTTCAGAAGCATATATATTAAATTCTTGAAGCAAAATTTTGAGTCTATGGACGCCAGAGCAGTCAAAGTGTATTATTGTTGTGTAATATATTCAAGAATATTATGACAGGCTAAATTTTTTCATTTTGAAAAAAAACTAAAACATTAACAATTCGCGTCCTCTCTGTGTGGGCCTAAGGCGATTCCCATTAAGTTCCCTTCCCCGCGCGAGCGAAGACACCTGCTCATGCGACCGTGACGGAACTAAAAAACAACGCGGACGAAATGGAGAATCGTCTTTAAGGCTGTTTTCTCCTTTAACCGTATCATAGGGACACGCAGCGTATATCATTTTCCTGGGCACTTGGATAGAAGGATTAATGACTTCGAAACAAAGGAATACGTACGCTACAGTTTCCTTACAATACGTTCGAAGTGGAAATCAGGCCTTAGCATCACATGTTTATTTTTGCACTCGGGTTCTGAGTCAAAACAGATCCGGCCTAAATAACGCTGGAGAAGTATTAGACAATTAGCCCAGTTTCCAGTTGCAAGCATTATGAGAAATAACTTTGGGTGATACCACAAAACAAGACCACTTATCCACTGCTGCAAGCTATGTATTTAACATATTTTTTCGAATTATATATAGGCAAGTTTAATAAAAAATATATAGCATAATCACCCGACCTGCCTGAAAAACACATTGTCAAAATTTAGTATTACTGTAATCTAAACTGTATGATTTGACGATTAGCTTGCTGTTCTTCTACATGGTATGTACATTGAAAATATTTGAACTCTCCAGGCCTTTTTTGTTCTATCGTTTCTGTCTTCCTGACCTTTGAAACTTTACGTTTACGTAGGTCAAGTTGCGTATTTTTTTTTACAAATGCTTGTCCTTTAGCATTTTTATAGATATCTAATTATATTTAGTGAGTAATAACATATTTTGATATGCAACCTTTTGGGTAGCCTGAGAAATTCAGAAATATTTTTTACGTAAGCACAAAAGTAAACATAAATTTAAAACCGTTCCTCCTATGACGGTTGCGAACGCGAGCGGCTTCACCACATCCATATGACCGAAGGCGAAGGCTTCATGTAACGGGTACGGGGCAACAGCAATCAGGGTTAGCATGGTAATATTTACTGCAACAATTAAAGAGTATGTCCATGCATAGTATCTATTTAGCCTCTTTTCATCATCTCTGAAAAGCTCGAAAAATGTCTTGGACGGATGGAGGATAAACGGGAAAAAAAGATACGCGAAGATGAGGAATATACAAGAAATTAATGGATATTTGAAAATTATTTCACATAAAACGTCCATACCGAAGCTGCAACTCTCCATGAAAAGTAGGCCAATCAAAAGGACTGTGATATGCATTAGAAAAGCAAGGAATATAACCCACCTAAACCTGTATGCAAAGAGAACAATTACCGTGAGTCGAGCAATAAAACCAAACAGCTCGTGAAAGAAGATTGCCACTCGAAAGAGTTTGCCCCTTTCTTCTTCCTCTTCATCCGGTCGTATTTCAAAAGCAGCAGTTGTCCATGTTAGACTAAGAATGGAAACCACGATGGATGTTATGGTGTACCATGGAAATTCCCATTGATCTAACATTATG